CGTGTCCACTCCACCCTTAAAAATATGCTCAGAAAACAAAAAAGGGGGAGTATGGGTAAGGATCTTGCAACATTTACTAGCACAAGCCTTATTTACCCTTAATTTCTTAAATTTAAGTGATACATTTCAATCAGCTGTAGAAAAGCACTTTGCTAAAACCTCTCAACATAAAACCTGCAGTTTTATGGAATCATGTAAATAGTAATGAATGGTATGTTCCAAATGACTTGCTAACAAGGAGACGAGGATATGCTTGTGTTCACACCTTCTCGGGTCCTCTTTGGATTCCAGCACGATGCATCAAACCATACCATGGCATGGCTAGGACCCAACTCGATACCCAGCAATGAAGACAATGACCCTGCAAGATCTGCAGCCCCAGACGATGTGACCTCCTCAGATGACAAAAGCCCTAGATATTACCTGGGGGACGCTGAAGGAAGCAACTCAGAAGGCTGAATGAATCCTGCTACAAACACAAACACCACTCACTCCAAATAATTTGTTTCTTCTTTTTTATTCTCTTACTCTGCCTGTGACCTGTACTTGCTGCACTCTATTGAGCTGTCTTTTAATCTGCTGTTTTTCTGCCTGTTGCTTAGGCAGAAACTCCCTTTCCAGCCTTGAACAACTCGACTGCATGGCTAGAAAGAATTAATGTACCCCCAGTGGGGTCCCTCATTAATGGCACACATTGAACTGAGGTGCCAAGCAACACTACAGGTTGCTCCTTGATTGGAAAACAATGTTACTGATTATACTCATGTTTGTCTGACATTATTTACTAATTCTACTAATTCTAGGATGCAAGGTCGGAGCATGATTTGTAACTGCTGTGCCTGACAGAACTGCTGCTGCACTCATTTGTACTCTTCAATTAACAAAGCTTGATGCAAAAAACAGAAATGGGGGTGGTGTAGATCAGTCAGAATGGTGGGAGAAATTATAAATGGACGCAAACCTTCTTGGAAGGCTGGAAGGTTTTACCAAAGCTTCAGGAGGAGGTTATGGCTGAATCCTCTTACCTTGAACTAATAGCAAAAACCAAATAACAAGGGAATGTAGAGGAGTTTATCTAAATAGCTTGTTTACTAAGATTGACCTTTGAATATCCAGAGGCAAAACTTCTCTCTACTCTGGGGGCTTGCAATGTTAAATGTTGTTTACTTGAGACCTTTGCCATTTAATCTGTACTGAATAAATGTGAGCATTGCCGGCTTATCATGGCTGCTGCTGACTGTGGTATAGGTTCCCTGGCGATGCTGACTGGCAAGCCCGTGTCAGTGTATGTCTTCCATCCATCACTTGGTTGAGTCTGCCAGTCGGACTCGACAAAACTCAGCCAGAGAAAAAGAGATACCTTACATATGGGGGCACAGGCATAAGAATAAATGCAAAAATAAGCCTTTGTTTCTAACAATACCTTCAAAGTACATATTAAAAGAAAAAAAATCTGCCAACCTAGAGTTCTCTACCCAGGAAAAATATCCTTTAAACATGAAGGTAAAATGAAGACTTTTTCAGACAGATAGAAACTGAGAATTTGTGAACTATCACCTGGACTACAAAAATGTTGAAGGAAATCTTTTTTTTTTTTCCAGATATGCTCTTGCTTATTTTTGTAAAAACATTTTGTAGAGACAAAATGTTTGCTCAGGTTGGTCTCCAACTCCTGGCCTTGAGCAGTCCTCCCACCTCAGCCCCCTCAAAGCTCTGGAATCACAGGCATGAGCCATCATACCTGGCCATGAAATTCTTAAGACTAAAGAAATATGACACTATATGGGAACTTGGAACTACATAAAGGAAAGCAGAGTGGAGGAAATGATAAATGTTATTTATGGAAGTTTTTTTTTCTTGAGATGGAGTCTCACTCTGTCACCAGGCCAGAGTGCAGTGGAGTGATCTAGGCTCAATCTCTGCCTCCTGGGTTCAAGGGATTCTCCTGCCTCAGTCTTCCAAGTAGCTGGGACTACAGGCATGTGCCACCATGCCCGGCTACTTTTTGTATTTTTAGTAGAGACAGAGTTTTACCATGTTAGTCAGAATGATCTTGATTTCTTACCTTGTGATCAGCCCATCTTAGCCTCCCAAAGTGCTGGGATTATAGGCGTGAGCCACTGTGCTTGGCCAATTTTTTAAATTAAAAAATTTTATTGAAAGATATTTACTATTTAAAGATAACAACTTCTCATAGTGCTTATAACATATGTGTGACCACAATAGCCCAAAAGATGGGAAGGGAAAATAGAAGCATATAGTTGTAAGATCTTATACATGAAGGGGTGTAATACTGTTTGAAGGTAGACTGTGATAGGGTAAATATGTGTATGCAAAACAAGAAGCAATAGAACAAAACATCTCCAAATAAGTGCAGCTAAAAAACCTCAAATAAGAGGAGATAAATGTAATACTGAAAAAGCAATCAAATAATTCAAAAGAAGTCAGGAAAAAGAAAAAAAAAGGGAACAACAAAGAACTACAAAAAAAAAAAGGGGAAAAGAAAAAATGGAGGCCGGGCATGGTAGCTCATGCCCATAATTCCAGCACTTTGGGAGGCCAAGGCAGGTGGAGTCAGGAGTTCGAGACCAGGATGGAACACATAGAAAACAAACAGCAAGACAAGACGATAAACTTACTCTAATCATATAGATAATTACATTAAGCATAAATGGTCTAGTCAGTCCAGTAAAAACAGAGATTAACTGTCCTGTCTACAGAAACCCGCTTTAAATATTTTAAATAGAGACACAATTTAAAATTAAAAGGATAGTAGCTGGGCATGGTGGCTCACACCTGTAATCCTAGCACTTTGGAAGGCTAAAGTGAGAAGATCACTTGAGCCAAGGAATTTGAGACCAGTCTGGGCAGCATGGCAAAACCCCATATCTACAAAAAATACAAAAAATTAGCCAGGCATGACTCATACCCTTGTAGTCCCAGAAAACGAGTGGGAGGTTGAGGTGGGAGGATCACCTGAACCCAAGAGGTTGAGGCTGCAGTGAGCAATGATCACATCACTGCACTCCAGCCTGGGTGACAGAGTGAGACCCTGTCTCATTTATTTATAATAAAAAATTTTAAAAAGGATAGAAAAAGATAGACATCACAAACACTTATCAAAAAAGTGCAGTGGCTATATTAATATTAAACAAAGTAGACTTCAGGATAAGAAATATTACCAAGGATAATGAGGGACATTTTTCAATGATGATAATATCAAATAATCAGAAGATTTTAAGTGTTTATATACCCAATAACAGAGCTTCAAAATATGTGAATTGCAATCAGATGAAAATAAAGAAAAGGAAAGTAATTAATAAAAACCAACAAAAATGAAAGGAGAAATGGAAATATTAACAATTATAGGTGGAGATATGAACACTGCATTCTTAGTAATTGGTAAAACAGACAGATAATCAGTAAGAATAAAGAAGGCTAGAACATTATCTACCCACTGATCTAATTGATAGAATGTTAACACCCAAAGACAACAGAACACACATTCTTTTTAAGTGCATGTGGAACATTCAACAAGATAAAACAAATTCTGGGCCATAAAACAAGTCTCAATAAATTGAAAAGAACTGAAATTACACAGAGTAGGTTCTCTGTTTAAAAATAAAATAAAATTAAAAATCAACAACAAAAACATAACTTGAAAATTCACAAATATTTGGAAATTAAATGACATTCTTCTAAATAACTCATGGGTCAAAGAAGAAAAATTATATTTTGAATTGAATGAAAATGAAAACACAACAAATTAGAATTGGTGGTATGGGCCCAGCACGGTGGCTCATGCCTGTAATCCCAGTACTTTGAGAGGCTGAGGCAGGCAGATCACTTGAGGCTAGGAGTTGAAGACCAAACTAGCCAACATAGCAAAACTCTGTCTCTACTAAAAAGACAAAAATTACCTGGGCGTGATGGCCCATGCCTGTAATCTCAGCTACTACGGTGGCTGAGGCATGAGAATTGCTTGAACCCGGGAGGTGGAAGTTGCAATGAGCCAAAATCATGCCACTGCATTCCAGCCTGGGTGACAGAGCAAGTCTCTAAGACAGAGCAAAACAATAACAACCCCCCCACCCCTATAATTGGTGGTATGAAGCTAAAGCAGTACTTTCAAATAAATTTTAGCATTAGATGTTTGTATTAGAGAAAAAAAGGTCTAAAAAAAATCAATGATCTAAGCTTCCACCTTAAAACAAAGACTAGAAAAAGAACAATTGAACACAAAATTAGTAGTTGTAGAAATAATTAAGAATGTAAGAAGTAAGAGTGAAAAATAAATGAAATAGAACACAGAAAAATAATAAAGTAAATAAAACCAAAAGCTGTTCTTCGAAAAAAATCAATAATAAATCTCTTATCAGGCTGAGAGAGAGAGAAAGGAAAAAGAAGAAGGAGGAGGAGGGGGAGGAGAAGAGAAGAGGAGAAAAGAGAAGAGAAGAAAAGAGAAGAAAAGAGAAGAGAGAAATTGCTAGCGTTAAGAATAAAAGAATGAAAGAGGGGACATTATTATAGATCCTATAGATATTTAAAAAACAAAGGAATGTTTGTTATGAACAACTTTATGCTTAATGGGTGAATTCTATTATACATTAGAATGGAATAACACCAATTCTATACAAACTCACTTAAAAAATAGAGGAGAAACCCTACCCAAATTCTTTTAGGTGATTAGCATTATCCTGATACCACAAACAAAACTGAAGATCAACATCTCTCATGAATAGAGGTAGCAAATTAAAACCAATGGTAATACTTTGGCATATTAAAACCAACAGCATTTGAAGAAGAAAATTTATTATGACCAAGTGAGGTTTATCCCAGGAATGCAAGGTAGACTTAACATTTGAAACAGAAAATCATCAAAGCTAAAGATCAGTTAACCACACACATATATTTCACCTAGTTTATATATAGTTCTATTTTGTACATTTAAAGTTTTAAATAATCTGAAATTGATTTGGGTATATGGGGTTAGAGTAAGAATATACTTTTTTGCCAAAGTGTTATTTTTTACGATATCATTTGGTGAGTGAATAACTTGACATTTCTCCATTGATTTCTCACATTTCCTTTGTCTTTTAATTTACTAATTTACATGTTTTGTCAGTACTTCTGCCAGTGTTATAGTTGCATAATAGTTAATAATAGTAGTTTTAAAATATATTTTCTGTCTGGCAAAGCAAAAGATGTCCCATACTTTTGTGAACATTTTCCCCAGTTCTTTCTTGAAATTAAATGTATTTAATAACAGGTAATATATGTACTTAAATTAAACTCAAATCATAGAATACAGTATACATATTTAATGAATGTTACTAGTTTCTTGTATATGCATCTATAGATATTTTATACATAAATTAGCATAATAAAAAATTTATACATAAATTAGCCTGGTAGGCTCAAGCGATTGTCCTACCTCAGTCTCCTGAGTAGCTGGGATACAGGTGCGCCCAGAGCTGCTGCTGCCATGAGGCGTGGGTGTTCGCATCCTTCAACATTCTAATGACAAGAGCAATTCCGCTGTGGAGCATTTGTGAATCCCAATGTCCGCGTGTACCCAAGACCAAGTCAGAATCTCTGGAGGAGGAACTGAGACGCGAGTGTTTTTCCTGTTTTAAAAATGTATATATACAAATGGTAACAAACTATGCACAGTCATTGTATATGCTGCTTTTTCACCTAACTTTATATCTTCGAGCTCATTTCATTTTAATATGAACAACTTCCTCATTCTTTTTTACAACCGCATAGTATACCAATGAATGAATACCACAATTTGTTGAACAATTTCCTGTTGATGGTTATTTAGGTCATTGCCATTTTCTCATGTAATAACAATACATAAAAAATAATTTTGTACATATACTTTCTAACATAGATACAGAAATACCTGTCAGATTAATTCCTAAAGAGGAACTGCTAGTCTAAAAGGCATGTGCATTTATAATTTTTAAATGTTGCCAAATTGCTCTCCATAGAGGCTGTATCAATATATAATATTGCGAAACAATAAAAAATACATATATGTATATAGTGGTCTCTGACCCTGGTTCCTGACACAGAGCTCCTAAAACGCTTGTAATTTCTGAAGTGAAGGGTACTTGGAGCATCTTGGTTTTAATGAAATGACTGTTGGTGAGCTCTTAGATGGCGGCTGATCTTGAGGAAGACCAAGCCATGATTAGAAGCTTGGAACTTTCAGCCCCACCCTACCCTATCCTCAGGGAAGGGGAGAGGAGCTGGAGATTGTTAATAATAAATCATGCCTACGTGGTGAAGCCTCCATAAAAGTCTCTGAAGTACAGGGTTGTGAAGTATAGGGTTTGGAGAACTTCTGGGTGGGTGAATACATCTGCGTGATGGGAAGGTGGTGCACTCCAACTCCACTGGGACAGAAGCTCCTGTGCCTGTCCTGCTTTCGGACCTTGCCCTATGTATCTCTTCCTCTGGCCGTCCAACTGTATCCTTATCAGATCCTTTGTTATATAATAAACTGGTCAACGTAAGTGTTTCCATGAGTTCTATGAGTCACTGTAGCAAATGATCAAACCTGGGGAGGGGGTTGTGACAACCCCCAATTTGCCTGCAGGGTGGTTGGAGTGCAGTGGCGCGAACATGGCTCACTGGAGTCTCAAACTTCCAGGGACGAGGGGTCCTCCCCGCTCAGCCTCGTGAGTATTTGGGACCACAGCGTCTCACTCTTCCACCCAGGCAGGAGTGGAGCGGTGCCATCTCGGCTCACTGCAGCCTCAGCCTGGTAGGCTCAAGCGATTGTCCTACCTCAGTCTCCTGAGTAGCTGGGATACAGGTGCGCCCAGAGCTGCTGCTGCCATGAGGCGTGGGTGTTCGCATCCTTCAACATTCTGATGACAAGAACAATTCCGCTATGGAGCATTTGTGAATCCCAATGTCCGCGTGTACCCAAGACCAAGTCAGAATCTCTGGAGGAGGAACTGAGACGCGATTGTTTTCTAATGCTCCTAAATGATTCAGATGGATAGCCCAGGTCTGTAACCACTGACCGTGGCCCGAGAGCTTTAAGTGCCTTCTTTGTGACAGAAGTGATTTTGGAATCTCCCTCCCTCAATTTGCAATTCATGGAAAGCTTAGAGCAGCCGCCTCTCTGACGATTTTCTTACCTACAGAGTGGTGGATATTGCATCAGATTATTCCTCTTTTGAGTCAGAGTCTTTCGTTGTCACCCAGGCTGGGGTACAGCTGCACGATCTCGACTCTGCAACCTCCAAAACCCAGGTTCAAGCGATTCTCGTGCCTCAGACTACTGGGTAGCTGAGACTACAGGTGCCTGCCACCACGCCCAGCTAATTCTTTTGTATTTTTACTAAAGACAGGATTTCGCCACGTTGGCCAGGCTGGTCTTCAGTTCCTGACCTCCGGAAATCCGCCTGCCTTGGACTCCCGAAGTGCTGGGATTACAGGCATGAGCCCTGGCACCTGGCCGCATTCCTTTTTTAATGGTTTTCTGTGAGAATAAGTGATGATGTTATTAGCGGAAGGTCCGTGAAGCTGGCAGATTTCTAAAGTAAAGGGAGGGGCCTTTCCTTGTTTAAAAAAAAAAAAATAGAAGTGTAGGTAACCTGGGGACCTATTCCTTGCAATTAGTTTCTGAAGCTGGGGGCAATCCTTTGGCATTGAGCCCTTAACCTGTGGGGTCTGCAGTAACTCTAGAAAGTTAGTGTCAGAAGTGGGTTAAATTTTAGGATACACAGTTGGTGCCTACAGAGAACTGGAGAATTGTTTGGTGTGGGAAAAGCTCACACACTTTTAATGACCAGAAGTATTACGAAAGTGTAGAGAAGAAATGGTATTTTCCCCCATTAAAAAATATCGTCAGCAACATTTGGGGGTGCCTGTTTACCCTCACCCTTATCAACGTTGTTTTCAAACTTTTGACCATTAACATTCCCGATGTGAAACAACTTATATTGCCTATTGTTTTCATTCACATTACATTTATTAGTGATTTTTAAGTTCTTCTTTACTATTATTTTATTTCTGGAAGTTGTCTTGGGATTTTATAGCTTTTATAACTAAGGTATAGCACTGAAAAGTAATAATAATTTTGTCTTCTTACCACATCTGGTTTTTGTTTTATTCCTTTCTTTATTGCATTGATCTTAATTTCTAGAACAATATTAAGTAATAATAATAAGATTGATCTTTCTTTTTTGGTTACTGCTTTTAATGGAACAATCTGTAGTATTTCAATTTTAAGTAAGGTATTACCACCATTCATTATGTTAAGAGATTGTTCTGCTTGTCCTAAACATTTAAAAGTTATAAAAATCCACCAGAAATTATGTGGAACTTTATCAAGTACTTTTCAGAATATAGGTTTGGGTGATTTATTTTCTTAAGGATGAACTGTACAATTTTAATACATTTCCTAATGTCAAACCATCCTTATGTTGTTAATTAAACCCTCCTTGACTATCATGGATGATTTTTTTGATGTCCTTTAGTTAAATTTGCTAATTTTTTTCCAGACAATTTTCTGTCCCCATTCAAAAGTGAGACTGGTCTGTTGTTTTTTTTTCATGCGTGTGTATGTGCTGTTCTTGACGGGTTTGTTATCAGGGTTATGATAACCTTATAAAATGAACTGGGCAGCTTTTCTTCTTTGCTTTTTTGTCCAAATTCTTCTCCGCTCCTCCGGCCTGGTTAGAACAAGGCTGGCCTGTGCTCAGACCTGCTCCAGGACCTCTGGTGACCTCCAGTGTGTCCCAGCTCTCTTCTTGACCCTTGGTGGTGTTGTCTCTGGCATCTCTCTACTTCTCCTCTGGTCTGACTTCCCAATGTGTTCCCCAAGCATCCATGGCTCAACCTGAACTGGCCTCTGTGTGAACTCAAGGGAGGGGATTTCCTTGGCAGATGGAGCTTCTCCATGTGCCCCCCGCCCTGCCACTTCCTCCAAGAGCTCTCCCAGCTGTGATCCTTAGCTCCTCCTTGGGCTTCTGCCTCTAGCTCTCTGCTGCCCTCTAGCCACAACATCTGTCCTTGTCATGGCTTCCCTCAGGCAGAGGCATTGAAAATGGGACTCTGTTCTGCAGGCCCAGTACTCATAGATGTCTTGAAGCCCTTGGAAGTTCTCCAGAGTGACTGCTTTGAAGAGGGTTGTTTTGGCTGCCTCTGAAGAAAAGGGTGCCAGAATAGACCCAAAACCTGTACTCTGCCCTCAGTGAGGAACTTGAATTACATTTCTGCCAAAGGACAACTCTGAGAAGGCCTGGTGTAGCCAGGCAGGGCAGCTCTGCAAAGTCCAGAGTGGGGAAGGGATCACATTCAGTCTGAACCTTTTGCTGCTTTCCTGTCCTTCCCTGCTAGCTGAGACAATGTGTATGTCCAGCCTTTCTGTTCAACTGTCAACTGTGAAATGACCCCTGATGGTGAGGCTTGAGCTATGCATGGAATTGTCGGTCTTTAGGCTGATACCTTCCTTGCCACCCCCCGATGCCATCTAAGACCAAGGTCACGGAGAGGCACTTTTGTAAGCATGCTGTTCATCATTTAATATCACCTAGTGGTTCTGGAGTCAGGCAGATTTGCGTTTTAATTCTGGGCATGCCACTTACTAGTTCTGTGATTTCAGGCAAGTAACTCAACATCTCTGAGCCAAGTTTCCTCATCTTTAAAACAGAAAAATAATGGATATACTTGTTAAGCTGTTGTGAGATAATAATGCATATAAAGCACTTGGCCTAATCTCAACCTAGTAAGTATTCTGTAGATGTTAGTTGATATGGTTTGGCTGTGGCCTCACCCAAATCTCATCTTGAATTGTAGCTTCCATAATTCCCACATGTTGTGGGAGGGACCTGGTGGGAAGTACTTGAATCATGGGGGCAGGTTTTTCCTGTGCTGTTCTCATGATAGTGAATAAGTCTCATAAGATCTGATGGTTTTATAAAGAGCAGTTCCTTTGCACATGCTCTCTTGCCTGCCGCCATGTAAGATGAGCCTTTGCTCCTCCTTAAGCTTCTGCTGTGATTGTGAGGCCTTCCTAGCCATGTGGGACTGTGAGTTCATTAAATCTCTTTTTCTTAATAAATTACGCAGTTTTGGGTATTTCTTCATAGCAGTATGAAAATGGACTAAGACATTAGTTAAGATTATTCTTTATCCTGATTATTCTGTATCTCTCTTGAGAATCAGGGTAACTTCACTGATATTCAAGGCTCTCTTGAGGTTGGGGTCAGTTTATGAACTGTCTTTCCAGCCTTATCTCTACTACTCTGTTACACATACTCCATTAGTCAGCTAAATTTTCACCTCTTTGCCTTTGTATACGCTGTTCTCTCTACACCCAGAGCAACCTCCTCAGCATCTTTGATTGAGAATCTTCCCAACTGTCAAGGCCCAAGTTAAATATGACCTACCCCATGAAGAGTTCCTGGCTGTCCCTTCAGAGGCTCTCTCTGCCTCCTGTAGCAGCATGGCCATTGTAAGTATTTCCAGTCAAGAACTAGGTGAGATTGGCCCCTGAGAATGAATTTAATGTCAAAGGTTGTGTGATGAATGTGCTAAGTTTTTGTGGACATTCCCCCAACCCCACCCCAAGAGTTGATCTCTTAGTGCCTGAGCCTGAGATGTGCTATTGGCTCCAACATTTCTTTTATTTTTCTTTTCTTTTCTTTTTTTTTGAGGCCAAGTCTTGCTCTGTTGCCCAGGCTGGGGTACAGTGGCATGATTTCTGCTCATTGCAACCTCTGTCTCCTGGATTCAAGTGTTTCTCCCGTTTCAACCTCCTGAGTGGCTGCAATTACAGGCACACACTACCATGCCAGCTGATTTTTGCATTTTTAATAGAGATGGGGTTTCACCATGTTGGCCAGGCTGGTCTGGAACTCCTGACCTCAGGTGATCCACCTGCCTTGGCCTCCCAAAATGTTGGGATTACAGGTGTGAGCCACTACGCCCCGCCAGCTCTGGCATTTCTGTGTTGGAGGGGTTAGGAGGCATTGCGGTGGAAGGGGAAGCTAGAAGTCTTGTTTTGCATGGAAAACATGAAGATTTCATTCACACTGTATACGTTTTAGGGGTGGCTTAGGGGATGGGGTTAAGAGGTTGGGATCAGGTAGCATTGGTCCTCCTGATGAACCTGGGGAGAACAAGGCTGGCCTGTGTTCAGACCTGCTCCAGGACCTCTGTGACCCCAGCATATTCCCAGCTCTCTTCTTGATCCTTGGTGGTGTTGTCTCTGGCATTCCTAATCTGTGAGTGAGCAAATGGAGTCCTTAAGAATGACCAGTAACTAAATCAGCTCTAACCTAAGCAGTTGTTGGATGTGAGACTATGAGCAAAAGTGTGAGGTCACATGGAGTCTGTGGAGAGACAAGCCAGACTGCTACCATGCATTGTCTTATGGCCACCTCCAGATCTTTCTGTGAAAAGTCTGCTTGGGAGATGAGATATTTGGTCTGGGTTGGGTAGGCTGGGCCAGCTAGTATGGGTGCGAGCTTGAGATTCTTAGGAGTTGAGCTTCTGGTCAAAAGAGAGAGAACAGGTTTAGGCAAGAATATGGCCCAGCCCTTTCTACCAAGAACCATGGTCAGGTGGTCAGATTAGGGCTAGAAGTATACCCATCTCTGGGAAGTGGGGTGAGGGCTGCTTGCATGAATCCTACAGCTTGGGCCTTGCTTTGGAACATGTGACCTGGCGTCTGGGCATCCTCCCCCTGGATCAATGACCCAGGCCCGGGACAGAGGCCTCAAGAGATGCTTGCTCCTTTGGCCTGCTGTGTGAGGCAGCAAAGGATGAGCTGAGCCTGAGGTGGAGTGGGATCATAGGCAGAGGACCTTCCAGAGAGCATAGCTCTGGAAAAGCCTCATTTGCGAGACTCCATCTAGCCCCAGGTACCTAGCCATAGTCCCTTCCCTGTCTTTCTCTTGGAAAAGTTTGTTTTTCTCTTATACCTGGAGGAATCATGAGTGCTGCTGAAAAACATTTCCAGTTTTCCCCTCTTCCAGGAACATGATAGGACTGCAATTTTAGGCTCCATGGTAACCCTTTGTGGCCAGTGGGTTGTGAATGGAAGGGGCATGCATCATTTCTGGGCCAGAGAACTTCATTGCAATAGGAGACCCTCCAGAACGTTCTTTCCACCCACATGTGGGTGATGTTCAAATGATGGCTGCTTTATCAGCCTGGGCTCCCAAGTGAGATGTGGAGCAAACTCCCAGCCATGGACAGGTGGCACAAGAGGAAACATACCTCTGCTGTTATAAAGCACTAACCTCTGTCAGTCTGCCTCCCTGAGGATCCAGGGCTTCTGTCTATTCTCAGCTTTTACTGTCCTACAATATTGCTTTTTATTTTCCTTCAAGGCTCTGTGCCCTCTGATTTACTTCTGTCCTCTTTGATCCTGCTCTTTCTTTTCCTGGTTCTTATCTTTTACACACATATCCTTGAGTTCCAGTGCTACTTTGCCATTACTTAATTCTATCCTTAGGGCCCCTAAACTCCCCTCTTTGACTATAATGAAAGATGGGCTCCGGGCTGGGCACGGTGGCTCATGCCTGTAATCCCAGCACTTTGGGAGGCCGAGGCGGGTGGATCACGAGGTCAAGAAATCGAGACCATTCTGGTCAACATAGTGAAACCCCATCTCTACTAAAAATACAAAAAATTAGCTGGGCATGGTGGCGCGTGCCTGTAATCCCAGCTACTCGAGAGGCTGAGGCAGGAGAATTGCCTGAACCCAGGAGGCGGAGGTTGCGGTGAGCCGAGATCGCGCCATTGCACTCCAGCCTGGGTAACAAGAGCGAAACTCCGTCTCAAAAAAAAAAAAAGAAAGATGGGCTCCTTTCAGGCAAGATTGTAGAGGCTGAAGCTGAAGAGTGCAGGGGGTGTGTGGTGGCAGCTACGATGGCAACTCCCTGTGACCTCCACCTCCAGGTATTCACACTTTTGGGTAGTCCCTTCCCACCTGGTACCAGTGTAAGTCTGTGTGATCAGTAGACTATGGCAAAGTGATGGTATGTGACTTCCAAGATTAGGTTATAAATGATTGTAGTTTCTGTCTCAGTCATCCTCTCTTGGATAATTTACTCTGGGGAAGCCATGTCATAAGCTATGGAGAGTCCCATGTGGCAAAGAACTAAAGCCTCCTGCCAATCAAATCTCAGATGCCTGCAGCCCCGGCTGATTCCTTGATGGCATCCCCCAGAGAGGCTCTGAACTAGAACCACCTGCTAAGCCACTCCCACATTCCTGACCTCATAAAAAAAGCTACTAAGTTTGGAATCACTCATTATGCAGCAACAAATAACTAATACAGGGCAGGTGTTTGGGAGATTGTGTTTGGAATGTCAAAGCCCCATAGAATAACAGTGCTAGATCTTTGCTTAGTATAGGTTGTATCACTTGATCTGGGACAGATTTGGCCACCATGGCTGGTGACCTGAAGGGTTAGGCTTCCCAGATGTCTTTGTGCATGGTTGCTGAGAGCACTCCATCCAGGGGAGGAGGGGGGGATGAAATACTAACACAGATTTTTGTCTATCCCTTAGAAATCTCTCTTGACCCAATCTCAAAAGACTCACTCAAACCTATCTTGTGCTAAACAGGGAATTCTAAGTAAAAACTGAAGCCATTTTACAAAGAATGCAAAACATTGGTGCACCATCCACAGTTCTTCAGGATACTTTTGCTGGGTGTGACACACAGGGAGAGAGCCTACATGACATAGGGAAGGTTACACACATCTGTGGTGGTACTGAGTGCAAAGAGCAGTATCAGAAACTAGGGCCCTACAGGGTAGCAGATGCCCTAGAAAGAGATTTGCTCATGGGCAAAGGTAACTCCTGTAAGACGCATTCCACAGGAGTGAAAGCCTAAGTTATTAAAGGGGAACATTAGCTGGTGAAATTAGATCTATTACTGTTAAAGCATCTTCACTCATGCTGGCAGGCCTGCAGGGATTGGGAAAATTTTGGGTCCAATAACAGCAACAAATATTATATTTCTACTTATTAAGCACTTACCACTAGGGTAGGGAGGTTGGGAGATGTTGTCTAAAGGATACGAGAATTCAGTTAGACGGGGGAACAGATTCAGCAGATCATTGAGCAACGATGTGACTGTAGTTAATGACAATGTGTTGTAACTTGAAAACTGCTAAGGGAATAGATTTAAATGTTCTCACCAGGAAAAAATGATAGGTGCGTGACTTCAAAAAGTTCATGGAAAAATGGAATTTAAAAATTACAATACAAAATATAAACTTGATTTCTCAGTATAGGCTCCATCAAGTTCAAGACCCTGTTGTAATTGATGTTAGCAGCCATTTAGTTCATTCCTAAAGAACTGAGGGTCCTGGGAACGTAGCCATGTCAATTCAGTCTTCTTCACATTATTAACTGAAGAAAATGGGTGTCTTTTAAAGACTTTTTAAGATTAGGAAACAAAAAAGAAGTCAGAGGAGCCAAATCAGGACTTAAGGTGGATGTGTAATTATTTTCCACCAAAACACTGTCAAAATTGCCCTTGTTTGATGAAAGGAATGATTAGGAGATCAATCCAAGATGGCCGACCACTAACAGCTCAGGATCGTAGCTCCCACTGAAAGCTCAGAGAACGAGACGATGCCACATCATTAGACGAATTTTTGTCACTCACCGATTAGCCGATTCCCAGTGGAGGAGCCCCATGGGTCACCAGCGCGACTCTTGTGGCCGCCGCAGCGGTTTTGCCGGTGTCTCGGCGCAGCAGCTCTTCATGCAGAGCCAACGGGACTGCTTCCCCTACTGACCGGAGTTTGGAGCTCCGGGAAGTCAGAGCCACTTGTTGCGGACTCAAGAGGGAAGCCAGACCAGAGATTCCCGGGCAGAAGAGCATCATCATTCTCACCGCTGCTATTTAGGCTGCCACAGTGGGTTGCTCGGATCCCAGCACTGGGAATCAATAAGTCGGACGTCGACTCAGAAAACTAATTAGAAAGGCGGTTCATCTACAATGAAGGGAAAAAAACAGCCTAAGAAGGCCGAGTATACTCAAAATCAGAACCCATCAGCAACGGAACAAGCCCTGTTGGAAAAGGACTCATCAGCAACCGAACAAGCCCTGATGGAAAAGGACTCATCAGTAACGGAACAAGCCCTGATGGAAAAGGACTGTGTTCCATTATCTGAAGTAGGCTTTAAAAGGTGGATGATAAGAAACTTCTGGGAGTTAAAGGAACTTGTTCTAACCCAATGTAAAGAAACTAAGAACTTGGAAAAAAGGTTAGATGAAATGTTGAAAAGAATAGACAATATAGAGAGGAATACAAATGAACTTATGGAGTTGAAAAATACAACACGAGAACTTAGTGAAATATGTACAAGCTTAAACAGCCGAATGGATCAAGCAGAAGAAAGGGTATCAGAGGTCAAAGACCAACTTAATGAAACAAAACGACAAGACAAGAATAGAGAAAAAAGGATGAAAAGGAATGAGCAAAGT